AAAAAAAATCAGCTAGGCAAGTCCCTTCCCTGAAGTATTGCTTCTTCCCATTCCCCTCTCAAATCCTAAACTCCCGCGTCGGGTTGGAGCAGAAACTCAACTCACGGCGGTCAACAAGCAGCCCCAGAGGAGACACAGCAGAAGCAGTCGAACCATGGCTAGGTGAGAACGCGGTGGCGGGACGGAGCACGCAGGACTGGGCTTCTAGTAACCTCCTGCATGAGCCCCGCCCGGGAAAGGGGCATGGTCTTCGGGGACCAATCGCGGCCAGCCTCGCTGGGGAGGGCGGAGTTCCGGATGACACCGCTCAGGGATTTCCCCAGGACATTCCCAGGAGTCTAATTCTCCAGGGGTTTAGGGACCCGCTGGGGAGTGGGGGCGGGGGTCCCAGGGAGAGCTCTTCCTCCTTAGCCTCTGGGACTACAAAGGCCAAGTTAAAACGGGGAGGGAGCCAGCCCGCTTCCAGGGTGGCGAACGAAGGTAACAGAGATCCATCCCCCCACGAGTGGGGGTACACGCCACAGGGACCCCCACGGCACTCCCCCACCGCCTCCGGGAATCCCGGCAGAACCGAAAGCGTCCCCACCGCTGATGGAGAGGCCTGAGGAAGTTCCCCCATCCCTGAAAACGGGAAGGCCACAGCTGGGCTGTGGGGAGGGGTGCTGGGGAGGCGTTTCAAGGAAAAGAGTTTCCCGACTTAGAGTTTCGCTCTCTTTCAAAGGAAATTCCCTGAGTGGACGCAGCGTCCCAACCTCCCCATTCATCCGTGCATCCATGCTCCGCCCCCTCCCCCGCCGGATCCTGTTACATCCCAGTTCCCATCTGTCTCCAGGCACTTAGAGTAGACAGCCTTTGTGGGATCTTAGGATCCCTTGAGAATCTTAGGAGACTCACAGCCTCTTGTTCTGCAGAAACACACACACCCTTGTGCCTACGTTTCCCCAGTTCCTGCCCTCCACGCCATTCGTGAACTAGTGTCACCACTCTCCGCACAGCAGTACCCAAGACACACCTGGGTTCCGGACTAGGCTCTGCCTTTAATGAGCAGAGTTCCCTTGAGCACAATTTTTCCCCAGTGAAACTTAGGAACTTGAACTAGACAGTGGTTGGGGTGATGACCCTCCAAGTTCTGAATTTCTGGGCTGTGCCATAAGGCCAGGCTGTGCAGATCAAGGAGGATGGGAGAAAGAAAGGCTGCTAACCGTATCCTCTTCGCTTCTGCTGCGAAGAGCCCTGCGGAGTCCACCTCTGGAACCCATCCCCCCTTTTCCATCACCTCTGCCACTACCTTAATTCAGAGACTCATCATCTTTCACCTGGGCTGTCCCAACAGCTTCACTCACTCAGTAAATGTTGGTTGAGTCCCTACTATGTGCCAGGCAACTAACTCTCTCTCTCTCTCTCTCTCTCTCTCTCTCTCTCTCTCTCT